GAGGGGGAGGATCACCTTCTTGGACCTGCTTGAGATGCATCTGTGGATGCATGACAAAGTACGGTTGGCCTTCCTGACCACGTCCCCACACTGTTCGCCCATGTTCATTTTGGCATCAATAATGATTCCAAGATCCTTTTCTGCCTCTGCACTGACGAGAAGGGAGTTTCCCAGCCTGTAGGTATGCTGCTGGTTCTTCCTCCTCAGGTGCAGTACTTTGCACTTGTCAGTGTTGAAACCCATCCTGTTTTCATCCGCCCACCCCAATTGACTGTGTGGGTGTTGACGCCACAGTCTCCTAGTTTTTTAATGAGAATTGGGTGAGAGACAGTGTTGAAGGCCTTCCTAAAGTCCAGAATGACTACATCCACTACTACACCTACATCTATGGATTTTGTGACCTGGTCATAGAAGGCCACCGGGTTGGTCTGACAGAACCTGCCTCTAATGAACCCATGTTGGTTGCCCCTAAGCATAAACTCCCCTGCTGGCCCCTCGCAGACATGTACCAGGATAATTCTCTCAAAAAGCTTACCCAGGATCGAGGTAAGACTGACTGGCCTATAGTTTCCTGGCTCCTCCTTCCTTCCTTTTTTGAAAATGGGAACCACATTGGCCCTTTTCCAGTCCTCTGGCACCACACCAGAGCACCATGAGTGCTCGTAAAGTTGTGCCAGGGGTCCCACAATGACCTCTGCTAATTCCCTCAGCACTCTGGGGTGGAGATGGTCAGGACCAGCTGATTTAAATACGTCCAGTCCCTCCAAAAGTTCCTTGACTAGGTCCTCACTGACCCTAGGCCTGGGTGTGCCTCTCCTGGGTTCTATGGGGGTCCCGGTGGGGGGGGAAGGGGGTGAGCCAGTCCCTGCTCAGAAAAATGGAGGCAAAGAAATTGTAAATAGGTTAGCTTTGCTGTCTGGTGCGATGACCAGATTTCCTACAGAGGCCCCACGTTACCTGGTACCTTCTTTTTACCCCCTATGTGTTTAAAAAAGGACTTCCTCTTATCCTTGATCTGGGTAGCTAGTCCTAGTTTCATCTCCACCTTGGCCTTCCTGACAGCCCCCCTACAGCCCTGAGCAACCGAGGTATAGTACTCCCTGGTGATGGCCCCTCCCTTCCACTGGTTGTATGCCTCCTTTTTAGCTAGGAGACATTCCCTATGCTTTTGGTGAACCATGAGGGCTCTCGAAGTCGCACATTTATTTTAAATTCAAACCTGTTTTCAAGTTACTGAATACTAGGAAAAAGTCCCAAACTACCCAGGTTTGCATGTCCAATGTTTTTAAACTCTAATAAAATTATAAAAAAGGGAGACACTCAACATATTGCAACAGCCAATACTGGAGGTAGTATGACACACTGCTGAGGTCATGCAATTATTTAAGCCACTCTAAATTAATAACATAACAATTGAGGCACACTTTTGGTCTGACTGTAGCTGACAAACTGTTCTGCATGTTTAATTTAATAAAGCATTGTTCTAAGGGCTACAGCAGCACCTAAGATAGCTACCTGTAAACAAGGCATAGAATACTATTATTCACATAGACAAATACCTCACTGTTTGAACTTTCAACAAATGATCCTCCAAACATAGCGGACATCCATTCACAGCTACAGATCAGTAGAGGCTTATGGGCATTTATGCTTCCATCATCCAGCTTAAAAGTCACATCTGCCATGGAAACAAAGACATAATCATAAGTACAATCCAGTGTTAAACATGCTAGAAACCCAAAGCACAGCAAAAAGCACTCACTTCTCTTGAACATTAAGGTATTGTTTCACTGTCTTTTTTTCAGTGTCTCAAAGTTTAGAGAGGCAACTAAAAAAATAAAAAGAGAATAAAAAAAAGAAAAGCTAAAACTTGATTGGGAGATACTAGATGCCCAGCACTGCTGAAAATCTGACCACTTGTTTAGCAAGCCAAGTATGGATTTTAAATAGCTAAACTTTTGGCTCCCAGGTTTGAAAAGGTTGCCTTCAGGTACGCTGCAAACTTTGCTCATTTCTCCTCTCCCAATCATTAGAAATATCTACTAGAGTTGGTGGAGTTATATTAGCATAAGTGAGAGGAGTATCAAGATCTCTACTACAAGTGCGCATTTACTCACCAGAAAATGTCCCTTTGCAAAGGCACTCTTTTATTCGATTAGCCTTCCTGACATGAAATGCTTTAGTAATCTCTTGATTCATGAAGGCTTCTTTATTCATAATATTTTCCACCATCATCCGTAAATCAAATACTTCTAAGATTTCAGCAATCTGAGCTATTTTTGTTAGATCTTTTTCATTTTCATTCAGTTGCCCAGTGTACAGAAATTGTAAAACTGTTTTAAAAGGCCCAGCCTGAACAGAGAAATCCATTTTGACCACAGTTACAGGACACATCCTATTTGAGATAGGATTGACTTGCACTTCTTTATGCATACTAACAAACCCTTTACCCCATGATGACAAAGCTTTTGCTGCAGAACTAGTGTCTTCAGCTTTCAATTCCAGCGTCTTTAAAGTGCCATCACTTTCTGATGTTGGAAGTTTGGCATCAGTCATTTTTAAGGTTGCCTCATCACTGTCATCGTTTCTTCTAGACAGAAAATCCCTACTGATGTGTTCCTTATTATACTGCATTTCAGTTAAGTCTGAAGATTCCTCACATTCCATTAAAAAAAGGTCATAAAACTTTGAAGAGGAGGTAGCTAGGTAAATCTTGTGAGCAAAAATGTGATTCTGCTCCTGGAGAACAAACATGACATCTGCACACAAAGGATTGTCCAATAAATATCCAGCTTCATTTGTACTGGGTACAGGACACTCTGGGATTTTGATAACTGGAGGAGGTGCCTTGGGAGGTAGGAATGGAGCTTGAAGTAATGGTTTTTGAACCTTCTTCAAATGTGATTTCCAGAACTGCAGGTGTCTTCTGGAGATCAGTGCAGCTCTAATCGCATTATCAAAAACATCCTTAATTCCAAACTGGTCAAATACACTGGTTTCATAATATGGGATACCAAGCTCCTTGGCAACCTCTCTGCCTCTTTCTGGTGGTAAAATGTCTCCCCTTTTTATAGGCCTAAGATTAAAACAAAGTTAAAAGAACACAAACCAGGACTGTCATGAACCACATTCAGAAAAGTTTAAACCCCAAAAGGGCACATCTCAATATCTATTCCCTAGATTTATTATTTATATTATTCAGTTATAAAAACGGTATGATACGAAGATCTTTGAAGACATACAACTATTTTACTAGACACACCAAAATATCTAGTTGAAACTGTTTAAATTTGGTAGATGCTTTGTGACATAACCACGTTACTTAAAATGTCAAGCTATCTTGTATTCCCATTTTCTGTGGGGGGAGGATGCTTATAGGCCCTATATTTAAGTTTTCATTATAAATTATTTTCTGA